ACGGGTAGATGTGGTGCTTAGGGACATGGTTTAGTGGTGGACTTGTCAGTGCTAGGTTAACGGTTGGACTTGATGATCTTAAAGGTCTTTTCCAACCTAAACGATTCTATGATTCTGTGACTTGAAAACTGGAGAGCAAGAATGGAAGTCAGTATTTCTGATACCCATATGGGCAAGCCGTTGCTGCCAGATCACAGCTTCAGTTCCAGACTTCTTTTCTTCTTGACTTCCTTCCTACATGCTTCAGGAGCAGAAGGACCATGCCAATGCTATGAGAAGGTGTATTGAATTTTGCAAGTGGATCCCATTTTCTCCAGTCCCCTGGTGCAGCAGGTTGGAAATTCTGCATCAGTTTTAAAATTAATTTCTTTAATTTTGCGTTTCAGTGAACACAGCAAGAAAATACAACTAATCATGAACCTATATATCTGCTTTGTGATAATATTTGATGTATTTTACTCTCCCTGAGCCTGCCCATCTTCAGTGCCTGGCAGGCCTTTGTATTGCTAAAATTGTAATGGTTTCCTGAAATTTTCTGATCAGAAGCAGAAAAACATTTCAGGTAGGTAGAGAGCAGTTGGAGCATGGATGAGATGGATTATCATCTTCAGATTTATGTTTCCCAAACTCTTAGTGAAGCATCATTGTGCATCACTGTGTGTTGTTAAAGACCAGTTCTTCATTTGGGAGAAAACCTGAGTTAACCCACTGAATGAGGAGATTTTCATCACTCTTGGTTCCCACCTTTTTTTTTATAGAATCTTATTCCATTTGCTCGGTTTGATTGATCTTATTTTAAATATGAACCGAAGTCTTTGTGCAGTTTTGTGGATGAAAGAACTCTGTTGTGAACTAGGTACCATTGTATTAATGCATTTTCCTTATCCTAGAAGCTCTGAAGCCTGTATTCCATTTCACAAACTCTCTCAGGCAATTAAAGGTGCAAAGTCATCGTCAGCCTTTGTAACACTTCTGATGAAGTGAAAGTTATTATAAAATAATGGGATTCAAAAAAGTGCTAGTCTGACTGGGCTCTTATGCTGCACCCACCAGCTCATATTTCTCATATTACTAAATTTAGGACTGAGACCTCAGAAGTGTTGGGGGAGGCGGGTGCTGGGTAGAGACTCAGGCAGAAAGACCACATCCCTGATTTCCAATAGTAGAATAGTAG